AACTGCAAGTACTTGACCAGTACGAGTCCAAGAATAGGCCTTGACTGAAATCAGAGCACATACCTACGATTCACAATTTTAGCAGGGAAATAATACTCAGATTTGTTGCTCTCCAAACAATCAATATGTGTACAGATGCAGTGTGCTTACAACCAGGATTCAGTCGGGTGATTTATTCTGAACTTCAAGAATGCTGAAAACATTATGGAATGTTCCATTCTTGAGCAAGGTGATTTAATGGGTGGTGGTTGGACAACATCAAGCTTTTCTGGATAAGCAAATTGTTTGGACACCTTTCAGTCTGTGTTTAGGCCTGGCTATGGGACTGAAACAGCCCTGGTGGACGACTTGTGCAGGGAGATGGATGGAGTGAAACTCTGTTGATTCTCTTGGACTTCTCAGCAGTTTTTGATACCACTGATCATGGCATTTCCTTCTGAACCACATATCTGGACTGAGATTGGAAGGCACTATTATATGGTGGTTCCAGTCCTACCTGGAAGGCAGGTGTGAGAAGGTGGTCTGAGACAAGGTTCCATGAAACTCCTAGGTGAGGCTATCCAGAGATATCACCCATATGTGGGTGACATTCAGCTCTATCTTGCACTTCTAGCTGACCCCAGGGAGGTTGTAGAAACCTTGAACTAGTGCCTGGAGGAAGTTCTGGAGTGGATGTGAGCTAATAAAGTGAAGTTTAATCCCAACAAGTTGGAAGTGCTACTGGTGGGTGGAAGGTGTGACCCAAGAGTTAAGGTATCACCTGTTTTGGGTGGGGTTGCACTTCCTTGAAGGAACAGGTTTGTAGTCTGGGGATGCTCTTGGATCCAGGCCTACTGCTGAATAAGCATGTGGCAGCTGTGGCCAAGAGTGCCTTTTAGCAGCTTTGATGGTCAGCCATCTGTGACCATTCCTGGGTTGAAACGATTTGACCACTGTGGCGCATGCCCCAGTTATATCCAGATTAGATGACTGCAATGCGTTCTATGTGAGGCTGCCCTTGAAAAGCATTCGAAAACTTCAATTGATACAGAATGCTGATGCCAGAAGGGAGACTGGAATAGGTGGTAGGGATCATATCACTCCAGTCTTGGCCCATCCACTTTTATTTCCAATTTGTTTCCAAGCACAATTCAAAGTGCTAGTCTTGACTTTCAAAGCCGTATATGGTTTGGGACCAACATACCTGAAAGACTGCCAAACCCAACTATAAAGTCATCTTTGAGGGTCCTGTCTCAGGTGCCCCCATCTTCTGAGATTAGGCCTGTAGCAACCCAGGAGAGGGCCTTCTTGGTCATGGCACCAAAGCTCTGGAGCTCTCTCCCCAGGGAGATTAGGCTGTCCCGTTCTGTCTCCATTGTCCACCTTTCATTTGACATTTCCTCAATGATCCCATCTTTCTAACCAATGTTTCTAATGTATGTTAACTCTGCTTCTAAAATTGTTTTAATAATGTATGATGGGAGGTGATTTTAATGGTTTTAAAATATACTTTTATTATCTATGTTTTAAATTGTTAGCCACCTTGGCAGCCCTTGTAAGGCAGGATTTGTGAGTAAATTTTTGAGTAAATAATGAAAAAATAAAACCCATACTATCAACAGACTAGGCATCTTCCATAGTTTCTTGTTCAAAACCGAAACAGTGCTTCAGATTGAGACCTAAAGAACATGGAAGACTTCTGTTCCCTGAGAACTGCAGCTCAGAGGAAAAGATAAGGAGGATGGGAGATATTCACAGGGGTTAGGAACATCATCTGCTTTGGTTTCAAGGCTGCCTAAGTGGGCCTACGCATTTCATTTGTTTATTCAAACATTTGTGGGTGCTTGTTAATTAGATCTATTACAGCTGTAGAGTGTTAGAAACTAACTGGCAATCCTACCGAATTGGTTGCATCACCTGGTCAGTAACACCAGTGGTTAGTTAGATTACATCACTGAGCCGATATCTGATTAGCTAGTTAGAATCATTGCAGTGCAGGCTACAAGGCATAAGAGAAAGATTCTTCATTCTAGTTTTGCTTTATAGCTTGAGATACTCTTACCTGGGGTGGGCCAGCATGGCGGGCACCTGTTGATTCAGGCTCTGGAACTAGCTCTAACCTCTGGGTTAGAGAACCATTGTTCGTATCTAGGTTAGTTATTTAGCTTTACTATTTTAACCACATTGATCTTTTATTGCCTATTCCCTTATATCCTTCTAATAAACTGCTTTAATTATATTTGATGTGTTCTTGAATTCTGGGACTTCAATTTGAAACCAGTCCTTTGGATCAGGTTGGCTACAGCTACGAAGTAAGCTGTTTCTCCAACTCTCCTTGTAAATGGACAATCCTGCAGAGCTGATTTCTGGGAGACCTGAAGGCCTGGTCCCCTAGCTAATTAAAGGGTCTGGCGGTGGCAATACCCTGGAGCATGTGGATTCACACTTCAGCCTTTTGTTTCTCTTGCCCAGCCAGTCACACACCTAAAACAAGTTCCCTGGCTTGGGGAGTCTGTGACACATTATACAAGGAGAAGTTCAATCAGCAAGGCTTATGGCTCCATACTAATTACAAGGAAGAAAAAACATTTCTTCAGAGCTGTTTTACACTTGAAATAGGCCTGTAGGTTCATAAAAATGCTGAGAGAATTGTGACCTCCCCCAATATGGGGAGGGGTGAGACTCTCAAAAGAGAAATATAAATGGGAGCTGCAGCTAGCTGTGGCTCCCCTACAGATGCCTCCCCCAACATACACTTTGCCATGGCAAACATTAAATACCTATAAACATGCCAAAGCTACTCATAGGCTGTAATCCTGAACTTGTATATCAGAGGTTACCATTTTATTCTATGAAGAAAATGGAGGAAAAAAATTAAAAACAGAAGAAAATCAAAACTTAACAGTCAATGATTGCCACTGCTTATAAAAGACTCCTTAGCAGCCTGTTTGTATGCGTGTTTACTCAATGGTGCATACTTTTCAACCATGCATACAATTGCACTGTAGGTATTCTAAATAAACGTAACAATTATAACCATAGGAGATATAACCAAATAGCTAATAGGTCAAGGAAATTATAAAATACAAAAATGGAAACTTCATAGCATTTAATCAGACACAGAAGTTTCCATGAACAGAGCTGGAAGGATAGTAACATGAGGCCCTGTCAACTGCATGCCTCTTCTGCTCTTAACAGAATTAGTCAGACATTCACTTTCTCTACACCTCAGGAAAAAGCAGCAATTGCCCAACATAGATATACACACACACAGAGGGGTCATTTGGGCCTGGAGCGCACTGGAGCACGGACAAATTGCAGTGGCGGCTAGCCCCGCCCCCAAGCTCCTTCTCTTTAGAGTTGCGTCACAGTAGCAGCGCGATCTCTCCATTGCATTCTGTGGCGTGACTCTAGAAAGAAGGGGTTTAAACTTTAAACCCCTTCTCTCTTCAAAAGCCTCCCCTTGGCCTTGGCAGGCCGGCGGGGGGGTGAGGGCATAAAAAGAGAAGGGGGTTAAACTTTAAAACTTTAACCCCCTTCTCCCTTCCCCCCCCCCCCCCCCGCCTGGCTGGGAAAGGGCGGGGAAGGCCTTTTTGCTTCCCCTTCTGACATCACTTCCAGTGATGTCAGGGGGCGTGGCATATGCAAATGAGCTATTATGCTAATAACTTATTGGGTATGCTAATTAGCTCCTGCAGCACTTTTTCTACAAAATGACCCCTCCCATACACATATGGCCAAACAAAAGAGGACTCAGTCTACTATACGGAAAGATTTTTAACACAGTAATTCCCTTCACGTTTCACACACACACACACACACCAGAAAGCATGCATAAGTGAAGCTGACATCTGTAACCTATACTCTATGACACAACACATTTTTTATTTTTTACAAATGTTTAACAACTTTTATTTGTATTAGATATGGACAGGTAGGGAACTAGAAGGACTTGCAGAAGTTCCTTCATTTTCCCCCATATCCCCTTCTCCTCCTCCCTGACAGCCCCCAATCCTCTTCCTTTCCAACTACTTCTTTTTCCCTCCCACTTATCAACCAACCTATATTTTATCTGCCCCCCATCTTCAACTTTATTTATTAACTTCATTTATACCCTGTCTTTCTCCCCAATAGAAACCAAAAGCACCTTCCTTCACCTTGAATTTACCCTCACAACAACTTGAGGTAGATTAGGCTGAGAGTACAGCCTCTCAACTTTTCCTTTCTAACCTCTTCTCAAAAACCTCTCCTCAGGAAAAGTCTGGGCAAGTTCAGTAAGCCACTGCTGGGCCCAGTTATGAAAGTTGTGTGGTATGAAGTCATAGTGTCACATCTGGGTGAGCTGTGCATATTGTATAGTAGCAAACTGTCCAGTGGTTGCTCCTGGTTCTGACCCCAATGAGTCCTTTCCTCCCTGACAGCATGGAGGGAGCATGGGCACACTGGGAGGCTAAAATAGCCTTAAAAAGGGCCCTCCCCACTGCCATTTACTAACAGAAGCCAAGATTTGAATGCTGGCAAAAAACTCCCTCAACGGCCACAGATTTCAGTCGACATCTATTTTGCAAAGGTACAAGTGCTGTGTTTATTATTTGAGGGGATTAATCCCCCCAAATATATACATTTTTATTTCAAATATTTCTGCAAACTGGGGTTAAAGGTTCTAAGATCTGTATTATCTGTTGATTGCTCCAGTCTCAGGATTTAAATATCCCCAGACGAGGCCATGTTGATAAATAGATATACTGATATGCCACTTTAGTGATATGCTATTTTTCTCTGCAGATACCACTCATGTACTCAATGTTATCCTGACAACAACCCTTTGAGGTAGATTAGGCTTCTATCCCAGAGTGGAGATTCAAACCAAGGCCTCCCAGATCCTATTCCAGTACAACTATGCCAGCTGACTGTGTAATATGTATGCATTAGAAAATCCATTAGAAGACAAAGACAACATTTCTAACCCACAATATGCAGGAGGACTCAAGTGCATCCAAATCCGAGAATTCAAAACTTACATTTGATTTTTAGCAGCTTGTCTCTGTGCTTTTCGTTCTTTTCTTTTTTGATCCGGTGGCTTTGCAAAAACTATTTCAATATTTTCTCCTTCTAAATCTTTGCCATTCATTCCTTCCATTGCCTAAAGCACAGTTGAGAAAAAATATAATTATAACAAATCCCTACAGAAACTTTTATTTAAACAATGTGCAAAATATCGGATGAACATGGGCAACGCGGACAGTAACAATAGAACAGATAAAAATTGATGAGAAGCATATAGTGTGTATAAGCACTATTTCCTGTCCCCAAGAGACAAATTTAGCTTCCAAAGTGCAGATTTTCAAATTATTAGCTAACATAAGGACTGGATATCAAGGCTGCAATAGCCTCTATGCTAGAAAGAAAATACCTGAAATAAGACAAGATATACTATCTCATCTCTAGCAACTATAAAATTGTATACACTATTAAAAGTGTATGTAGAGAAGACTTGGATTAAATCTGTATGCTACAGAGGACAACAGAACAATATCTGCAAACCTAGAAGCAGAATTTCAAGTTAGGTATAATAAAGTTATGCTAAAAGTAACAATATTTCATTCTGTAACTGCTTAGAGAATTGGGTTTCTGCACCAAAAGCATAAATGCCTTTTCTTGGAGTCATGAACATTTGGGCAGATGATTCCACAAGGCTCCTCTTACTTGAGCATGTGGCGCAAATGATTTGCTTGAATTATCTAGATTTTTACATTTTGGTATTCTTGTTAATTCCTGGAAGTGTATCAAAGTACCTTAAGCCAGACACAGCCCCTAATTTTTTTTCAGGGAGCAATGAGTAACTCAAGGAGCTCCAGAAGCAGAAATGATAGATATAAAGAGATTTTAAAAATGAAAGTCACCAACCAACCTAAAGACAATAGGTGGTAATAACTTCCAAGCTTCTGGACATGAACAGCACGTTTCTCTCATTTAAGACAATGTAATTTATTCATTATTAATTCCTTTGGACTCTCCAAACCTACCTTTACAGCACCATCACGTTCATCAAAATGAATGAAAGCATAATCTTTTAGCTTCTTCACTCGCTCCAGTTTTCCAAACTGACTAAAGGCCTTTTCTAGAATTTCCTCTGTGACTGAATTTGCAAGATTTCGCACGAACAACACTTTCACCTAAGAACAAGGTATCAAGAGTTAATTAGAAAACAATTTTGCTTCTTTCTTTGCAAAAGTTAACTATAAGGGTAACCTATGAGACATGCCAGTTTTACAAACCTGGATTGAAATTTTGGCTCTCATCTTGAAATCCCAGTTGTAGAAATGTTCAACCACACCTTTTCAAAGCATCATTAAAAAATACAGTTTGGGCAGTTCAATCCAATATCTTAATGGGTATATCTCTTCTACATAATTATTCTATAACTGGCAAATACTGCAGAAGAGGCTCAGGTCATAATAGAAACATACATTTACAAGTGTCATCATTTCTATAAAACTTTCCATTTGAAACAGAATATGTTTCAAAACAGTATCCTTCTACCTATTAAATACCAACTATTATTTTGACATATTTTGAAATATTTGCAAATTAAATTTTCTATTTCTTTACTTATCTTACCTTTGCCATAACTTCTGGATCTGGATCTTCTATAGGATCAGCCCATTCTACTGTAACGACATTTCCCCAGACTTTCACTTTTCCGCTCATTAATCTGCGCCTGGCTTGAGCTGCTGTTTTGTGATCTTCATATTCAAGAAAACAAAAACCTCTATTCTTTTTCTTGTCATCAGGCTGATGATACAGTATTACATCTGTAAGACCCTCTGAAATTGAAGCCAACCAGATATGTTTAGTTATCCCATCACACATACCTTCACAAAGGTCTCAGTAACAAAGCAGATTCCAAAAATCTGTCATGAAGGGACAAGGAAGCAAAGTGATTTTGGAAGGTGGGGGATTACAAGCAGCCAGGAAGGTAAAGGCCCCTAAAATGAGTGTTGGCATGGTTAACCACAAAACTATGAGCAGGGAGGCTTGCATTCAAATCCCTATTCAGCCATGAAAACTCATTGTGTGATTTTGGGATGATCCCATTCTCTCACCCCAGCCCACCTCAAAAGGCTGTAATAAAATGGAGGAGAGCACAAGCTACCTAAACTAGTAAGAGAGATGGAGGACAAAGGTTCTCAAAATTCTTCCTGCTGTTTCTTCAGCCATCATTATGCAATGAAAGCCAGAAAAAAATGTTTCCTTCATTAAAGAAATCTCACGAGCCAGACACTACATAGGAAGAAAAAGCAAACTCAAAAAAAAGACTGGTATAAGTTACTCTAGATAGGCTTTCTTAAGCAACACTTAAGACCCCAGCATGACAGCATAGAGGCATCAACACCTAGGTACTGATTCCACCTCTACCGCCTTCCATAAATTCAGTATTATGCATGATCTCAGTTTAGAATATCATCATCATTCAACAGCCAAAAGATGGTGAAAAAATCCATCAATGATCACTTCAGAGTAAATCTTTCCTTTTGTATTTACCCATCAAAAGCATCAAGCAGTTTACCTGTTACTTTGCCAAATTCTTCAACTATCTGCTCCTTGGTTTTACTCTTAGGAATAGAGCCAACGAAAAGTCTGTTATTGGCTACAGAGATGCATACACCAATGTGTTTTCCGGAACGAATTTCATGATTGTTATACTAGAAGAAAGTTACACAGGAAAGATTATCCAAAGCAGTTTATTCTTGCCTTCATTTTGCTTGCTAAATTCAGTTTCTGACTTTATTGTAAAAGGGTCAGTATATGTTAATAGTTGTTCAAGAACTCTTTTATAGTAATTCGGTTCACTTGCTTAAGGTATATAGACTTTTGCAAAGCAGACATTTTCTGTAGTGCTACCACTCTCCATGTTTGCCAGTATGTTTCCTATTACACAGCCATGTAGGTACCCTGTTTAAGCAAGGTGTTTAATCAGATGGTCGTGTTCCTTCCTGCTCTAAGATTACAAGTAACTCAGAACACCAGGTTATGACTCTAAGCTACAAAATGAATTACCAAGTACAGACAGGTCAAGACTTTTTTTCAGCATCAACTAGTTTTATTACAGGGTGTCCATCCTGCATACTAAGTGTTTAAAAACCTAACATTTCTAGCAAAACTTTCAAGCAAACACATGATGATGTATTTCCTGCAATAGTCATACATTGCATTAAGTGCCCAAAACAGTTAACAAGAAGTTACAAATCACTCTGATTACTACAAGCAGGAAACTCACAATATCAAACTAGTGGTTCCAGGAGTCGTGCGCTTCTGCTGAAGCCAATCCTAGCCCAAGCACAGGTCAAAACACATTGTCCTTGTCTCTGTAAGATGTTGTAAAAATGAACAGGCCAAGTGCTCCTGTGTATGGCTACTGTACCATCCCACACCTCCTAGTATGCAAGGTGACGTTTAGTTCTAACAGCACAAACATAGCAGCAAAAATCAATCTATAAGATTAGGGAGCCACAGTATGGCAGAATTAGACAGTATTACTGGGTTGGGGGGCTTCACAACTGGCAACATTCTATATGAACATTTAATGAAAGCAACTATTTTTAACCATATTGCAAAGATGACTGGGGTCTCAAACCTTGGACACATTTGCCTACAATAGAAGTTTTGGTTTAGGACACCAATTGTAGAATTCACTTCCAAGAAAGTAGTATTCATATGAGAGATTACCTCCCATTCAGAATATCCATCAACAAGTTAACACAAGGAGTTCTTAGGACTTTATGAAATGTAAGACTAATCTTTTGACAATGGGAACAAAATAACTCCAGTGTGCTGCTTGAAAGCTGTAAACATCACACAAAAGGGTCAGGCAGTAATAGCCAAATAGGACTACACTACCAACTTGACTTGCTTCTTAAAGTGTTCAAGACCAAACTAAAAATCCCATCAACTGCCTAGAATGCAATATTGGTAACACAACCATCACCCCAGAAATCATTAATCTTTTTTTTTTGGGGGGGGGGGGGGGGGAATCAGGAAGCTTCACCAGAAAACGGTGACATTTAAATAATATATTTATTGTCTAATTCCTGAAGCTATTTCTATTTAAATGATACCAATCTAGAAAGCTAGAAGTTTACTTACAGCAATTTTCTACTTCTCCACTTTCAAAAATTACACAGAACATTTTGTAACCCATTTTTCCTTTTTGTTGTTAAGGGTCAGTATACACCCATGGACATTAAGAACCATCATTACTCCAACATTCAACCCACTAACAGAAATTATACTGGGCAGTATCCACAATAAGTAGCTTTTAAGTAGCTTACTTAAGAAAAACCAGAAATACTAACTATGAAGTCAAAACACAAGATAAAGTTAATTTAAGTACAGATAGGACAATGCGACCAGAAATGAAGTTCTGCAAACACTAAGCAGCTTGAAACTATATATTAATGTAAGCTAATGAGAAAATGTATTAGCTACTGCCAGCAGTTACAGTGATTACTTTAAGAAGCCCAGAACACCACAATGAAAAGACTTACCAATTTAACAGCTTCCTGAGCTGCCTCTTTGTTACAAAAAGTGACAAAAGCATATCCTCTATTTAGACCAGTCAGCGGGTCCATCATTAAGCGCAGATCCCAAATAGGTCCAGCTTTCTCAAACAACGGCACAAGCTCATCCTCGAATAAGTCTCTTGGAATCTTACCCACAAATATCTATTAAAAATATATATGTATATATATTTTAAAAGCACAACAGAGGTGAATACTGTTTTTTATACCTAGAGTTGCCAAGTGCCTGGAGAAAATCATCCTGTCCCCTTAACTTAGGAATGTTATTCAACAAGTGGTAGATACTATTTAGCTACATATAAAAAGCTTCATCTGCACATTTCCACAAATTAAGCCTTTGTTAAAGAGGATATTTTTCTCTAGGTGTGTTGGCAACCCTAATCACACCCAAATATAACTTGCTTACCTCAGTGCCAACAGATGGCTGCTGTCCTGAATAGACAGACTCTGGGGGAGGACCACCATACTTCCTCTGTCCAGTAGTCACATCAAGCGTGTAACCCGTTCTCTCCAAAAGTGCCTTCAGATTTAAATTCAGAACTTTTAATTTGTGTATAATAAATTTTCTAACAGCGTTCATTACCTGAGTAGGACCACCCAAAGCCAAATGAGAAACCAATTCTACAAATCATGGCACCAGCAAATGTACAATATGGCTTTAAGGAATGCCATACCAGCACAATTGTACTGGTGTCACAAACTCTTGTCAGGTAACACACAAGATCGGTTTCAGAAATAACATGTGACTCAAGCTTAAGCCCACAATGTACATAAATAGCATATATGACTCAGCTACTACTAGAAATACCCCAACCCAAATTACTTTTATGACAGTTATAGCTACATGAAACAATACCATCAAGGAGCCAGGGACAGAAATAAATATAGTTTCCTGTAATAAAACATACCTTTATTTTTGCCTCATCTGGTCCTTTGCTAGAATCTGCCACTTTGGTCCCTTGTTTTTCTCGCTGTCTGTATGTCTTCATTACGCCACATAAAAAGGCACTTTTGTTCTTTAAAAGAAATTATCATTTGTTATTATATTGGGCAGATTTAAGGAAGCAGGCATAAAATTAAAATTGGATCTTCCTTACTTCTATGAGTTATGTATATGGGCTAGCACAAGCCACTACCAAGCAAAAAGCCTCTACTATAGTACTTTACCTGAACATGAGATAGATCGCTGTCTTTAAATTGCTGAAGCACTGCCAATGCACCTTCTTCATTAAATTCCTTTAAAGCTTCAATAGCTCTTTCATCTAAATCACTGTGAGCAACTAACCCTAGAAAGAAAAATACTTTATTTTAGAATATTTCAATCAGGTAGTTTATGGTATTTCAGAAGCCACCACTGAAGAGGTTGAATTAGGATCTTTTTCTTTACTAAATAAGAAAAACATATTAGTCAATCAAATGAATTAACCTTCAAATATATGACATAACTTATACCTACAGTTACTATGTAGCTATCTATAAATCACAATGTAAGGGCTCTTAAGAATTAACCTGAAACACTCAACAAATCTCTTACTGTCCAAACTGAGCTTCAGAATATGACTGCACACAATAGCCTTTGCACCCACAAACCTAAACATTCTATCAAAGTTGTCACCCACAAGAGATGCACACAATGAATACCTCAGTGAACTACCCTGCTCCAAACACAAACCACTCTAATCCACTATGCATTCTTCCTAAAGCCTGATTTACAAGAGTTTACCCTCACCACCACCCAATCTGGACTATCATAAGTATTATATAGCAGTTGACCATCCAAGCACTTACTAAGACGACTGCAAACCCCATAGTTTTTTGGAAACCACAAAAAGTTGCTATTTTAGCCCAAAGCAAGGAACGTCCAATAGAAAAATTGAACATGTGAATTTGCAAGTTTTACATCTTACCTGCAACGTAAATTTCATCTAGTTTTTCAGCAACTTTCTGTGGTAAACCAGCATCAAGCAATGTCTGGAAATGCTCAGAATGGGTAACTGCAGCAGAAGTATCCATGGGCTCTTCAGTACCATTCCCATTAACATGTTCAGAAGCCATGTTTCCAGATATCTGTTCAAATGCAATAAGCATCATAATTAAGCTAGAAACCTTGAAGCCAAACAGTTTGGACGTCAATATTTGCTCAAGACCTTTGGTCAAACGAGCTTATTAATAACAGAAAAAGGGGCGTCAATACATGCAACTGCCCACTAGACGCTTCAAAACTTAACCCATTCTCCCTACTAGTTTTAAAATAAGAAAGCTTGCAAGCTTCAAAAGAAAAAAACCAGTAGCGCAAAGGCATACTCTAGAACCAAAGCCTAGAGAGGTGCGAAGCTTTTACTACAAGTGCTACACAGTCCACCAAACTCTGACTCACCTCCTTTTCTCTCCCTAGCACACCCTAAACAGCTCTGTATAAGTTAGAAATGGAAGAACCCAGGGGCAAGAAAGAACGTGCAGACGCCACCCCCGCGATACAGCCACGGCCATCTACTGCTACTTTTTTTGCTCTGATCAATTATGTCGACCCATCATATGGCACGACCACCCCTCCCCTGCCTACACTCAGGCCACTTCTCCTTGACAGGCCTACAGCAACCAAGCAAAGGGAACAAAAGCGCTTCCCAGTCCACATCTATCCCAGGTGGCAGCCGCCGCCATAAGCCGAAAAAGAACACGTGCTCGGCGCATTCAAATGTCTTACAACTTCCTCCAGCGACCAACTTCCCTCCATCCCTCCTCCGGAAAACCAGACTTTCCCTCCCCCTCCTCCTTCCCCCCATCCCTTTTTTTCCTCCTCCGGGAGAGGAATTGCAACACCCTGGGCCCGATTTCGCCATAGGGGAGGGGGGTAGAAAAGGAACGGAATGAAGGCAGGAGGACTTTCCATGCCTTCACGGCTCCCCGGAACAATGTAGAGAAAGACACATAGGCGCGTCCAGCCATACCCAGTCCTCCCCTCCTCTGGATTCCCCCGACCCCAATGTGCAAAGCTGGCTATCAGACCTCCTCCTATTCCGGCCTCGTTACGTGACTAGAGGCACGCGACACCCAGTCCCGCAGCCACTGTGGCGGCAGCCTCTCAGCCCCTGCCTCTCCAGCCTTCCCCGTCACCGTCCCACCCCACCCGGGAGGCGCCTCGTGGCCAATGAATGGCGCTGCCGCCAGGACAATGAAGCCGCCGGAGCTCCCAGCGCTCCCCGGGAAAGAAGGAAGGAGGGAGGGAGGGAAGGAGGGAGGGAGGGAGAGGCAGGCAGGCAGGCAGGCAGGCAGGCGCGTGGCTTCTGTTTCCCGTCCCCTTTGCCCACCCCTCACCATGACATATCTGCGGGTCCCGGCCTAGTCCGCCATGCATGCCCCATCCCCGGCGGCAAAACCCCCGCTGTATGGGACAGGCCCGCCCGCCCCGCCAGCGCTGCTCCTCTCTCTTTCTTTGTTGGTTCCCCTAGAAGAGCCCAGAATCGTCGGCCGAGGCAGCCGCCTTAGCCCCAACAGCCCCCCCTCCGACCCACCCCTCCGCGCAGGGGACCGTTTTAAGGTCTCGGCTCTTCTACCCCACTCTCCGCCTGCCTCTCTCTTCACCGCCTGACATGCCCGGGTGGCTGCTAACCTGTGCGGGTGAGTGGCGAGGGGGTGATGAATGGTGAGCTAAAAGGGCTCCGGAGGGGAGGGGGGTGGTGTGGAGGGGGGCGCGGCTGGCGGCTCAGCTGTTGCGGAGCTGCCCCTTCTCCGCTCTCTCAACGTGTCCGGAGAATGTGCAGGAGCCTGCGTAAAATGGCGGCCGCTGGAGCGCTCACGCCGCTGCTGGCACCAACCAACCCCCAGCCCCCTTCCAGTCGGCTCAGGCAGGGAGGAGGCGGCGTCGCGCGCGCGCTGGCGTAGCCCCAACGCCGGGGTCTCCTAGGCAGTTCCGCAGGGGTTTAACGCCCCGCCCCATTACTAGTTTAGAGACAGTCCGGAAACTGAGGCTAGGCCGCGTGCGCGGAAGGATGACGTTCGGTCTGTACGCGGAAAGAGCAGAAAAGAGAGGAAAGGGAGCGTCCCCTCCTTCCTTTAAGTGGCTCTTCAGCCGTGCTCGTCAGAGGTGGGGCCAGTGTTCGCGGTACGCGATGCTTCGGGCTCTCGCACGTAAACACGCGAGAATTCGGCTTCCGTGGTGAAATTATCCTTCCGTTTAAGGAGGGAATGGGTCCATACTCGTCGGAAGCCCTGGGGATGGGCAAGGGTGTATCGCTAGTTGACATTTAGAAGCAAACGTACGAGGGAGCTGGGTTCGGTCGGGTCCCTCTGGCTTCCCTTCCTCGAGTTCTCACTGTCAGTATCGAAGCCCTGCCCGGGGGCGGGGAGGGGACGCAGAAAGATTGCAAGGAAACAGGTTGAGAGCGTTGCCTGAACGCCTTGCCTGCTCGCCCCATTAGCTGCTTTCTCACATCCCTCTCTGCAGGATTTGGACGACTGACACAAAACAGCCGCTGTCACGTCTAGCGTTGATCGTGTTGATTTAGTCACTTGGGCACTAGAATGGTGGGTCCCGGTGTACCCAATAAGACTGAGCTGTGCCGGCTGGGGTAACTAAGGGGACAGGGCTCCCTCACTTTGGCGGCGTTTTGCTGACACGGGCTACTTGCAGGAGGGAACGTCCTTTCTCGCTCTGCTTGCGAGCGATTTCTTTTTGGAAGGGCTGATGGGGGAACAGAGGGGGTAGAAGAGGCGACGTTGTGGTTGGGGGACACTGACCCGGGACAGCCTTTCTGCTGGGCACTGCCGCTTGAGACAAGCAGATGGGAAAGTTTAGGAACATGGCAGTGATACTACTCCAATAAACTCTCGTGAACAACTTTCTCAGGCTTGTGTAAGATGTAAACTTTAGTCTCTAGAAAAATACATTTTGTATGCTGCACTCTTTGCCATGCACTGAGCCACTAAGAACAGTTGTCAGCTGTGTTTATTCTAGAACCAGTGGCCATTTGTTGCCATGCACTGAGCCACGCAGGTGGGCCACTAAAAACAGTTGTCAACTATGTTTATTCTAGAACCAGTGGCCATTTGTCAACCTTTTAAAAACTAGCATTCCACCTTGGCTACATGGAAAAACTTGGCTAGTAGCATATTTATTGTGTCCATAAGACACAAGTAGCTTTATGCAAGCTTGTTTGTGGTGGTGGTGGTATTCCATTTATAAGCTGCACTGACTCTCCCAAGGCATCTACCCTGGAAATCTTATTGGTCTTTAAGGCGCCACTGGACTGGAATCTTACTCTTCTCACAGGCCAACACAGCTACCCTATTGGGATCCTTTATAGTCCAGGGTACAGAAAAGCCCAACTAGGTGTGAGGCATGAACCACTTGCCATGTTTCCTTCCATGGGGAAAAAGTTCACATTGAATACCTTATATTAACCCTCTGCAACTGCAAGGCATTTTACTAGCTTTCTCCCCAAGGATAAATGCAGTCCCCAACTTAAAAAAGGCACAATTCACCACTTACATTTAGAAGAGATTGGATTTATACCCTTCCCTTCACTACCCAAAGGTGTCACAGAGCTGCTCACAAACTCCTTTCCCTTCCCCTCCCCACAACAGGCACCCTGTGAGGTAGGTGGGGCTGAAAGAGCTGACAGAAACTGCTCTTTTTCAAGAACAGCTTTTATCAGAACTAGGGCTTGCCCAAGGTCATCCAGCCAAGTGGAGGAGTGCACTTAACCACTGCACCAAACTGACTCACATCACTTCAAAATGCTTGCAGTCATCTATTTGTTCCTACCACAAATGCTAGCACATAGCCAGTCTCACCTCCCCAAGTTCTTTGAAATATTAATTTCATCTGTGCATTTTAAGTGGCCAGTCAGGTACTTCTGTAATCAGACTGCAGGGTGTGCAAACAGCAGTCCTATTTACAGTATTCAGCACTGACATATACTGCCTCTGCACTTACGACTCTCAGTAATAGCCATAAATGCTTATCTCCTGTATATCTAATCTTTTGTAGAGTATCCTAGTTGCTATCAATCCTGCTGTGATCAATTTATTCAGGGTGTAGCAGGTGAACTGTGGCCATACCAGCAGAGCAACTGTCAAGTAGCACCATAAAGACTAACAATTTGTGGAGTACAAGCTTTCTTGTCGGTGCTTACTTCAGCAGCTTTATGGCATTTTTAATTCAAATTGACACTGCTTCAGTGCATCTAAATGACTTAGCATATCATAAGGTTTCATCAGCAAGAGCAGCTGAGTTTGCCAGTAGTACTCAGCACAATGCAGTGAGCATTCCTAATTGCAGAATTTCTTTGGAGGACCTTAAGCTGTTATGTCTGAGGCTTCCGTGTTCAATAGCCCCACAAACTCCAAAACCCTCTTAAACCACCATCACCCTCCCCAAAATGGAAAGTAGTGCCTAAGGTGGGAGTCTAAAATTCCATAGAACTCCTTGGGGATGCTCAAGAAACAGAGAACAAACCATGGCTAAAACCTCTGCTCTGGAGTGGTAAGTAAAGGTAAAGGTTCCCTTGCTCGAAAGCCTGTCGAATCCTACTCTAGGGTTGCGGTGCTCATCTCCGTTTCAAAGCCGAAGAGCCAGCGCTGTCCGAAGACATTTCCGTGGTCATGTGGCCGGCCTGACTAAACACCAAGGTGCACGGAACGCTGTTACCTTCCCACCGAAGTGGTACCTATTTATCTGCTTGCAATTTCTTGCTTTCGAACTGCTAGGTTGGCAGGAGCTGGAACTAGAGACCGGAGCTCACTCTGTCATGCGGCACACTTGGGTACTCTCACACTAACTCAGCTTAGAGGGAACACTGGGCATAAGCATTCCCTACTATGTGAAGCCAGAAGCGACAATAATCTTGCACCGTGCTGTCCCACAATGTGAGGTTTACAAACAATGACCATCTGTTTAATTAAGCAATGTTATCTTTCCCCTGTTTTAGGGCACTTTTCCTTTATGTGCTCCATTCTTATTAACCAGTAAATTGTTCATTGTCAAGAAAAAATCTAGCATAGAATTTGTAGGAAAAAATTGTTTTGATGTATTCACTGCAATTACATGTTCTTAGTATGATTCTCTGATGTCACTCAAAAACTTAAATAAAAGCATATGACCACTTAATACAAACATTAATTCCAAAGTTTTAGATTTATTGCACTGCTAATTCCCAGACAGATCTCTCAAGTCTCGAGGCTGATTGAAGTACACACAGGAAGACTTCAGCTGATTTCCTGACACCAAATTAACTTCACTAAAAACAAGCAAAAAGATTTCAGTTATGTGTATTCAGTCAATTATATTGCAGTTTAGACTTCCCACTGAGCTCAAGAGATTTCATGGAACAGAGCTTTTCCACTACTTGCTGCAAGCCAGTGAACCTCCTACCACCCCACACACACCCCTCAGTTGTGGCACACCCTTAGAACAGAAATGCAGGGATCTGTAAGAAATTGCCAGCACTTCTTCCACAAGTAGAAAAAGGTGTTGCATCTACTGGTCACACTAGTTTCCTCAATCCTCAATGCAATCATTCCAATTTCACTAAACCGCAGGATAGACTGGTAGTTTCCTATTTAAATTTGGTTTTATTTTGTGTATTGTGAGATAATCTGTTATCTGGAAGACTAGGATATAATGAAATAATGTAAATACATATACATTTAACAGCTCTCTTGTCCCTTTCTGCCATGCACCCTAAATAATTTAGCCAGAAATTCATACAGCACTCTCAGATACTCTAAATGTCCATTTGTCATTGCTTATTTTTAATTGCATTTTAAATGTACAAGACATTTGCCAATATCTTACCTTTTTATTTCTATAGAAGGCTTCATGAAAATAACTCAGCTTTCACAAACTGCTTCTTTACATCCTTAGAACGAAGTCTGAGTCCAGTGGCAGCTTTAGGACCAACAAAGTTTAATTCTAGGTATAAGCCTTTGTCTGCATGCACATGAAAGCTTATACCCAGCCAGAACTAAACTTTGTTGGTCTTAAAAGGTACCACTGGACTCAAACTTTGTTCTGTTGCTGCAGACCAACACAGCTACCCACCTGAATCTTTATATCTTTAATAAAACAATTATGAAACGATAGCATTATATTCTACAAAAAATATTTTAGAAGGAAATTCTAGTTTCTATACACAATTTATCAATCCTATTTTATTCTTTCTGGACTGCCAGATGCAACTTTGAATGACTAGTATTTTTTAGGGAGACATCATGGATTCAATCTTGTATAGATTCCCCCCTCCCCCTCCCCTATGCTACTCTTGGGGGACTCCCTGAAACAGCACATGGGGAGCTGGAGGAATGCTATTGGGGGGAGGGGGGAACAGTGGCAATCCAGTTCCTTCCTTACTTCTTTGCTCTGAGCTAGTAAATATAAATTGAGCCCTCTATAGCAGGGGTCCCCAACCTTCTGGTACATGGGGTCCACATTAGAGTGCCCAATGCCTAAAGAAGGCCACATCTTAAAACATAACAAAATTATTAACCTATTTAGATCAAAAGTAAACAGAGATCAATGAAGAAATGTTCACTTGAACACAATCCATTTTGGAACAATATTTTACTGTGGAATCCTTTTATCTAGCTACACACACTTACCTAGTCAGTGTGATTTTTGTGGCTGTTTTTGTTAGCCAGGGCATTAATGTCCAAGTCAAGGTTTGTGACAGACACCCTTAAAATGTCATGTAAATGTTCACCTGTAAGTGTTGACCTACACTTGGATTTCACAATTTTCATCTTTTGTTCACAGATGTATGTGGTGCCAAAGACTGAACATCCCTGTGGCAAATTTCTTTAGATTAATAAATGTCAGGTAGACCACAACAGAATCTATTTTCTTTGTAAATATCTGAGATGATCATTGGCTTGAAAATCAATTAGTTCCATCTGAAAAAAGTTACTTGCATCTTCTGGTGCTACTTCTAATGCATTCAGAAACATTCTTATTTCCTTTCCAAGCTTATGGTAATCAGTGAATCTGTTCTGGAACTCCACCTGCAATAGGTTCAGTGCTTTGATGCGTCTTTAAACATTGAATTGTAAATTCCCATCCTTCTCAAATTTTAGTCCATTGCAACATGAGAAAGCTTTCAATTCAGAATGCATGACACACAATCTTTCCTTTTCCTTGCAACCTGAGATTCAATGCATTCAGATGCCCGGGGATACCAGTTAAAAAAGCCAAATCAACAATCCATTCAGGGTCAAAATGTACTTCTTGACCTTTTCCTTTCTCCTTGAGGAAGACACCAATTTCATGACAAAGACTGAAAAAACATTCGAGGAATTTGCCTCTGCTAAACCACCTGACTTCTGCATACATCTCTGTATTCTGCATCTTGATCTCTGAGAGAAAATTTTGAAACTGACCATGAGTAAGCCCATGGTGCCTGATGTAATTAATGCTGGATACAACAGCACGCACCACATGTTCCCACTGAAGAATCTTACGATGATGTAGTGAAATTGCATGGGAAGTGTACTGTTTTAGTGAAATTGCATGGGAAGAGTACTGTTTAATTTCAGTATCTCTTCACTGATTCCTGCAACTACACCAGTTTTACTTCCCACATTTCTTGCACCATCAGGTGTGATGCTTTTCAATTTCTCCCAACTCAGACCAAGACTTTCTACTTTTACACACCTTCAGGAATGTTTTCTGCTGTTGTAGTTCCTTTCAAATTCTGCAGCACGCACAATCTTCTGCAATTCTGAAGTTGGAAGATCAGTGACATACACAGCTCTTTTCCTAGTTCTTTGACATGCCTGGTGAATGTAGATGCAGATAAACTGACACAACTATCAGGGCACATTTCCTCCATTACTTTAACCATGCACTTTTTAACAAATACATCAGTGAATGGTCTATCATTCTCAGCAATACAACATTTGACACGCCTGGTGAATGTAGATGCAGATAAACTTACACAACTATCAGGGCACATTTCCTCCATTACTTTAACCATGCACTTTTAAACAAATACATCATCAGTGAATGGTCTATCATTCTCAGCAATACATTTAGCAACATGATAGCTGGCCCTCACAATAGGCAGGTTCACCTCAACATGCTTTCTAAAACCATAGTTCTGTCAGAGCTGTTCTCTCAAGGACAGTTTTGGAAACCTACATACCTAAGGGACTGCCTTTTCCCACATGTACCCCAGAGAGCACTGCGTTCAGGGGTCCAGAACCGACCGGCCCTCCCGAGTCTTAAGGAGGCCAGGCTGGTGTCAATCATGGCACAGGCTTTCTCGGTGGCGGCTCCATCCTGGTGGAATGAGCTCCCAGAGGAGAGCAGGGCCCGGCAGAACCTATTACAGTTCTGCAGGGCCTGTAAAAC